AGATTAAATTATACAGATAATGAAAGATTTAAAATTTGCTTGTGAAAACAGTGGTATGCAAAAAACTAAGCTTCACAATGCTTTCTAGAAGCTATGGTTCCTATAGCTTGCAAAAGATACTGAGATTGACATGATCTTGGCTTCTTAATTACATCAGAGTGGGATTTTCTACTCCTAATGCTTAAGTGCATGTCAATACCAAGACAGATTGCAATATGCATATTACTATGCCAAGAAATCACTTTAAAATTATTCAATGTAATCTGTTAATAATTGAGTAACTTCTGGTAAAGAATTATTAAAAACAACTTGAATTCATCACTCTGAAAAAAGAATTAATAAAAACCAAAAGGTATATAAAGTCTCAAAATCTAAGCAACCTCACACAGAGTAATAATTGCTCTTTTGTATTCTGACATAACTATCTCAAAATGCATGTATTTTAAATACTGGATTGCTTTCTAAATCACATTCCTTTCATCCACAATGCTTATTTTGTTTTCCTTCTGAAAACCTCTGGTTTTAATCTGCCCAGTCGTGGGGTTCTCCTTTCCTAGCAGAAATGATATCCTTATATTTAACACACACATTAAAACTGATGTGCATCAGTGTTGCAGACACAATTCACTAACTGAAGATATATTTGCTACAGGGCTAGGAAAAAGCAGGAGGAGGAGAGTGCAGAAATAAGAGAGTTGCTATGCCAACCTACAAATGCTAATGGCATGACAAATATAAAAAGGTCACAGTAAAAAAAAATAAATAGAAAGAAAAGAAAGAAAGAAAAGCCCAAATCAAAAAGTATGTGTATTTTATTTAATAAACAATGCAGCTACTGTATTTAAATTCTTTCAAAACAATGCAGTTTAAAAAGAAAAAAAAAAATGCCGCACAGTAGTACAATGAAAATCAGGTTGTCTTTGTCTTTCTTTTGATTTAGCTCTTAATTGCCTTATTCTTTATCGTCCATACCGTAAGGATGGTGTTTTAAGGAAAAGTTACATACGAATGCTGAATGGATGTACCTGCAAGTGGATCACCTGATGATTAGGGCCAGTATTTCAACACAGCGTAATAAACAAGCATGATAAAGAAAACAAGTTAAAAGTGCATTAGGACTAGTTCTACATTAATTAGACCATGCAACAAACGATATTTTTGTCTTTTTGAGACAGAATTCTGTAACAAACTGAAATTCCTGTCGTCTATCTGAAATGGTAAATATGAACTTTTAAGAAATCATTTAGGAGGACTTTCAGCTGATTTTTAAATATTTGAGTCTGCTTGATTTAAAAAAAAAAATCCCAACTGTTCTGAATGTTCTTTCTATAGTCTTCTAAGGTTTGTTACGGCAGATACTAGTAATGACTCCTATACTCTTAAATATAAGAGGAGATGCATGCAGCACAGTCTTTTTACATCAAACTGCTGTAACAGAGACCGTTTATGTCAGAATCCAAACCCAAAACACAGAATGGGTTTGCTCTCTCACTTGAAATATAGTTCCAATCTGGTTGAAACACCAACCATTTTAAATTACTACTTTCTTTGTCTTTCCAGTACTCCAAAGGACAGTACTAACAGCATGCCAATGACTTTTCCTGAGTCAAACTCACATGTTCACCAAGGTAAAGGCAACAGTACTAGGATACAGACAGGCTACCTGTGGACATCAGAGCATCCTCAGAAGTCCAAGGGAGAAGAGAGGAGGGCTGGGCCACAGCATCAAGCATATACAATGTCCTGACCTATTTATCAACTTTTTGAATGGGCAACAGGCAGTGTACAGAAAACACAGAAATTTTACAGTATAACCTGAGTTTCCTAGCATAGAATTGCAGATCCAAGATAAAGTTTTACATAAGCCTTGGCTGAGCATTCAAAGAGAAATGATTTGCTCAACCTTTTGAAGTTCACCCATTGCTAATTAAAGAACTGCCAAGGCTTTACTAACAATTTAAAACTTGTCTTTAAAATCCCCAAAGAGGAAAATGCAAACAGCTGTTCTAATTAGCAAAACAGCAGATACTAATTAGCTTCTGTAACAAAGTATGCTGGTCCTTTAAGGACAGGACCAGTTTCAGCCCAGGTTTGTTACCCATTTAAACTAGAAGTACAAGGACTGGAGTCAGATGCTGCAGAAAAACGTTCTCATTCCTTCTGAAAGCAATATTCTCCAACTTCAAGTAAGCAAAAATGAGATTTAATTTCAAGTACGCTTTCATGCTTATTCGTATTCTAGTTTCTGATCTTTCTGGAACTGAGACATGTACAGACATTTGAGCGGCGACTGAGGGTTATTTGAAATGTCTTGTCTTGTGATGATTCCATGGGGATGATAATCGTGATGCCTTCATGTTCTGGGAAAATCGCCACTATGTCTGGACAGAGTAATATGTGCATATCGGCACAGCAAACCCATGGAGTTCACAAGCCTGCTGTGAAAGCACTAGTCATTCGGGCAGCTGATGTAGAGTTGCTCCAACAGAGCCTATCTTTCTGTTATCCCAACCTGTCTGGGCCAGTTCTGAAGAACTAAGAAAAACTCAGGAGAAGGGAGGGGAGAGGACAGAAGAGGCTGGAATTACCACTTTGCTGTGGTCAGATCACAGATCCTTGGAATCAGCAGATGTGCTCTTACAAGATAATCAATATGCATACTGGCATTTCCAACAATCAGTTTTAATGTTAAAAAAAAAATATAAGCCACATCCCATAAGAGCTATGCTGCCCGTAACTATGTCTGCAACTAGTCATTTTGGTATTAGTGGGGTCAGTTGCCATAGACATGATATCGATAATAAACAGGATATTGCCACAAGTAGAAGATACAACATAAATGCCAAAAGTGATACATAATGCAAGAGTTTGTACTATCTACACAGAGTGAAAGAATAACTGAGAATACAGGTATGAAATGATAACCCCATAAATAATTACAACAATATTATATCAAATAATTTAGATAGCTATATACGTGTTTGAAACCACCAGGCAGTGGTGAAATATTTCTTCCAAACATCTGGAAGACACTTGACCTTCAGGATCTAAAACTGTTGTGCTGGTATTCCAAAACTGTAGGACAGGACAGGTTGATAGCTGTAATTGGAGGACAATAGTTGCTGCTCTTTCACCATGCTGCGTGCTCTGCACGTTCTACATTTAATGAAGACAGTTACCAAGGGCAGGCAGCGAGTAAACAAAACCCTTCAAAAATCAATTTGGGATTCTGATTAATGAATGGAATTTTAAATAAAACCAAAAACATTTATTTGTAAACATAAGGACTGTGATGATAAAACACTCTTATAAAATACAGAGATACCCATCACTATAAGATTGTTAATCTTATTTCTCTGAAATCTCAAGCAGTATCATGGAATTCAGCTAGCCATGAATGAAGCTAGCTACCCAGGAATCCATATTTCTATTTGTGTTTATGCTTTTCATTACGTATTTTAACATCTCAGCTCCGCCTGCTAAATGGTTTCTGAATAATTTTTTTGTCTTAGTATAGTATTTCAACATCTGTTTTTCAAAACTGTATGAGAACATCATATTCTCTAACCTTTGAGATGACTACTTTGAAGTGGTAAAGGGAAAAAAAAAAATAAATCACAAACTGTGCTGTGTGAGGCTCTTTAGAGTAAAATATTGGCTTCATAGAAGTTACACGAAGTTAAATAAGACCAGGACATAACCTCAACTGCATGCATGGTCTGTTCTTGATGTTTACTGCCTTCTCTTCAGATTAATACTCCTTTGTCTACTGATTAAACTATTAGAGAGAAATAGTATTTTTTTCAGCATGATGAGAAAGTACGTCACAGCAGAACTATAGTTTCTGTAATTTAACTCGTTCTGTGTATTAAGGTATATAACACGCGTTCAGATTCAGGATCTGATAACTATTTTTCTAGTCATAACATATACGAAGCTCAAATGTTTTCTCTGTTGCTGTGTTTTGTTTTTCCCAGCTTAAAATGCAAATGAGACATTTGGTTAAGACACTCCTGTTTTTCCAGTGAACAGAAGATGTGGCACTGTTCAAGCATTGTTCCTTTTGGGCCCCACTCTGCTCATGCAGAGTTCAAATGGGTTCAGTGAAATAATAAAGACATTTCTGGAGGGGGATCTTCTCTGAAAGTGCTTTTTAATGACGTTTTGGTTGCTGAGGTGACCAGGCTTAACTCGCCTCAGGACAGACAGGCCAGGATCTTGTCCTTTAATAGAAGAAAATCTTTGTTCTTGTATCATTGAAAAAAGTCTATGAGTTTTTACTTCTAAATGAAACTATATTGATTCAAGCCACTCACTTTTTCATTCCCCAAGTAGAATACTACCTGTCAAAACTCCACAATAAAGGTGTTTAAATGGAGTCATATTAAAAAACTTGTTATTAATAATAAAATTATTATGAAAAAATCAAACACTGCTGAGAAGCACCTAACAATTCTAAATCTACTTCAGTTCCTGAAGCTTGAATCTTAGCTGCCAGAGAGGTTAAAATAAAGGAGGTACATCAAATGATATCCTTTCTAGATAGGTCAGTGTTACAATTTGGAAAAAAAAACAAACAGATAAATATGATATAAATATGTTGCCTGAACATCCAATAAAATACTATAAATCATCAGTACAAAGTTACAGTAAGAGATGACTGAGTTACACCTCATTAATAAAAATGTGAATAAAGACCTAAAGCTGCAGTCTCTCCAAGTCCTAATTTTTACTCTAGGACTTCCAAGTTGTTTATGTGTAAGCTTTTCCAAACTCCACATCAAGATATTTTTTACTTATCTTAAGTAAATATGTACTGCTTGTACACGTACCTCCAGTAACTACTACTTCCACATGCCAGCATCATGCCTAACTCAATAGCTTCCACATGTTAAGCCTGCAACTACTGCAAACTTCTCCTGCTGTGCACTAGTTTGCATTTCTCATAGAGAAAACATAACCTATGGAAAAAAAAAAAAGCCAGAAGAAATTTTACTTACGAGTACTTTGTCAGCAGATCCAAATCATTATGCATGTTGATCGGGTATGTCTCACTGAGATGAAACAGCTTCTCTAAGGCCTCATAAATGAAAATGATGCAGATAAGAGAAGCAAAAGCTTCTTCAGTAAACCGGGTAATGTAGCAGACTAGAGAGCTTGCATCAGTTGCAACAAGGATGATGCACAGGATTGCAGTCCACAGTCCAATACTAGCTCTCAGAGAAAGGTACGACAACCCATATTCTCTAAAAGAAAGAAAAAAATTAAACACAGTTTATCTTTGTCCAGCCACAGTAAACGGAGAAGAGGCAACTCCAAAATTTCCTGTGCCTAGGGATGTGCAATTCTACTATCAAGATACTATCAAGTCACCTCTTGACCGGAGTTCTCCTCCCAGTTAACAGAACACAAAGAGCTCTACTTCTACTAAAGGAAGTGAGCAGTTTTGAGAGCAGTCATACACATTAATTGTTAGGTCCATCCACTTTTTATCCCATATCCTGCCTTGTGAATAGCCAACATCTGCCAATTTCTTCTTAAGTTGCACGATCAGCTATAATAACAACTTTCATCAAAATGTTGTATGCTTATTGTATATGATAATAGAGCTCCAAACACGTTGGGTGGCATCATCACAGAGAACTGAAAGGTCTACCTGAAGGTGATAAAAACTTTTGGGGTGCTAAGTCAGGTTGTCTATTCTATGTTGTTCAGGAGGTTCAGGACATCTTGTCAGAGATGTCCCCGTCACAGCAATGAGGCAGAAAAGCAGGGAGCATTGCAGAGAAGTATGATGGTTGCCAAGATGCAGACATAATTTTTACCCACACTGTGGCAGACATGTTACATATAGCACATTAATGTAAATGTGGGGATATACTGTTCTGGCATGACACTCCACCCCTTCTCTGTTCGGGTTAGGAAGGGCAGGGTCTATATTAGAGACTATTGAAAGATGGTACCACTGCCACTGCACTTCCTTCCTGGGTGAGAGGTAACACCTTTTGCATGAGTTAGGGATGAGATAAACCACAGATTTAAATGTTTTGTTTCAGAGCAGAAAATGATACAATAAAAAACAACACCCGACATCCTGAAGCTTGCATTCCCTTCAAAATAGTGTTTTTTTTAAATAAGCAAACAAAAAACAACAATAAAAAACCATCAACCTCTCTGCATTACCCCCAATTCACTTGCCTCACTCACTGCATAATTTTCCAACTCTGAAAGCCTAAGCAGTGCACTCCAAAACAAACTGTTGATCTTACTCTGCAGATGTTGGAACTTTGGGATCAATGTCTCTACTTTTACTTAACATCACCTGAGGGATGATGCATATCATGATCTTCACTTACTTGCAGAACTTGAATAAGATCTTCTCAAACACTAAAACTGGTCCTGTGCTGCCAAGTATAGTGAGAGGTTGTCCACCAAAGAGAGAGTAGGCAATTCCAGTCATGGATGCTCCAAACAGCGATTCTATTGCACTCTGAATATGATACAGAGAGAAGTATCCATAAATTTTCAAACAGGTTCTTTTTGCAACGCCTTGGCCTGTAGCCTTCTAAATATTGAAACATTGAAACATCAATATTTAAAGGCTATTCATGCAACAGTAAGAAAATACAAACCACAAACCTAGGAATGCAAGTTTGTTTTAAAAGTTCAGATTTAACACATACTATACGACCTTCAGTTGCTTCTCCCAGCAGACCACCAAATGTGATGACAGGAGACATGCAAGCACAGTAGAGAAACAAAAACGATGCCAGACACTGCAGACTGAGAGCATCCCTGAAGTCACTCCAGAAGAAGGGAGCTTTTCTTTTTATATCTAAAATCAATCCTCCAAAAAATCTAAAAAAGAGTAGAAGAGATCAAATTAATGAAAAAGGCATACCGAACTTTCTTCCATAGTATTGTTTTAAACATACTAAGGAGAAGCTATTGCCCCTTGATCAAGTGATACATCCTCTGATAATTCACTCTTCCCAGAAGAACCTTTCTGGGAACCCTGTTTTGATAACTTTAATCAGGAAATTGTGTTTTTAAAACAAACTAATTTGCATGTTTTATTTATAAAATCTTCATCTAATCATCCAGACCCAAAACTTCTGAACAGTTGTTAGCTCCCACGCACAAACCACTATTATTATGTAAAATAATTCTTTGCATGTGTTTAATCGGAGAGCTACCACAGTGCCCATTTGCCCACACGTCTACATATAGAGCTTCACATTCTTTATTTGAGAATCTGTTCCTAAATACACTTGATGATAGAACTGAATGCAGGCTGCAATTTTCCAAGGACAAGAACTGTCATCTTTTGTCATTTACACTATGCTAAATATAATCAAACATTTAAGAACAGACGCTCCCTTACAATATACCATACAGTTAAAGTAAATATCCCCACAATGCTCTTTTTCTCACAGGCACCCAACATATCAGATGTTGCTGGGCTAAAGAGGAAGACGAAGTGCCACCATCTCCTAAATACTAGAACAATCCTTCGAGCCATCAACTACCAGGTTCAACAGTGAGAGAATGGCTTACAGCCAGACTAGCCATCATCTCCTCTGCCCCACTGTGTACAACAATGCTGCAGCTGAATCTTTAGCCTTATGCAGGTAGAAACAATAATTAAATATGAAGAGGCAACAAGGTAAAAGAAAAGTCTATCACACAGCTACACTGCACTAAGGCAGCCACTGACAGTCGATGCACTTACACCACATCATATTAAACAAGAAAACAGAAGTATTGCTTGGGGCAGATGCTTCCTTCTGATGTATGTATTTTGCAGCCACCATGGTAATCATAGCCTCATGTACCAGGACATATCATGGCTTACTGAGGTGAAAAAAAAAAAAGAAATGCTAGAGCTGCACAACCAAGAAACTTCAACTACAAAATAGTTGTGAGCACTTATAAGATACAGCACAAGACTATTCCCAACTTTTCCTTTGTGCTGTACAAAAACAAGAAACGTTAATCAAGTTTAACAAGGTCTGACCTTTATAAAGAACAGAGAAAGGAGCTTGCAATAAATACAGTGTGAAAACTCAAATCCTCTTGTCCTCTCCCCCTCTCCACAAATTAGCACATACTGTCCTTTTCAACTAATGTGGTATGAAAATCAGGAAAAATGCCTGAAAAAAATCATATGCCAAGCCAGTCATTTGAGAGAGAACCAGACCATTATGGTTCCTCTGGAAGTGCATCACTTAGAACACTTAAGATTTGGCATATGTTTTCACTAACTTTCCAGTGCGTTGCAGTTCTGGTCCAGAGTGTCCTCCAGGTTGTTCTGCATCTCCATGGGCTGCAGTTCCATTTGGCACTCCTGGGATCTTACGCTTCTCCTACCAGAAGGAAAAAATACTTCTCATGGGTCTTAACAATCAAAACATAATTTTAGCAGAGGAAGCAGGATTTCAGAGTTGAAAGACTAAATATGTAAATTTTATTGTAAGATTCATCAACATAACCTCTTCATAAGCTGTAGAGGAGTCCTATAACAGGAAACAGTAGAAGGAATTGTGGTCTACGAAATTTAAATAATTGATCACAGAAAACTTCATATCAGAAAATACTTTCAAGAGTAGCAAGCCAGGCTGCTTTGATCAATTCTTGCAATAAGCTTAGAACCATAGCAAACCATGGCTGTTGGAATAATCAAAGATGCTTATAATCAATTACACCTGAATTTAAGATCTTTAGATACAACCACCTGTCTTTATTCAGGAGAGCACTAGTATTGAACTACACAAAATGCCATCACTATACTGTATGCTTGCAAGACAAGGGTTCACTTAAAGTAAGTTAATGGAAAAAAAAGAGCATACAAAATGTCTATATACTGACTCTGCTAAATGCTAAATTAATGAGACTTAATTCCATCTAGCAAAAATTCATCACAACGTCTAAAAGTATCTGAATTTTACAGCATACAAACCTGAGAGGGAACATTTTTAGGTGGTTCTATTCGAATTGTTGGGTCCCACTCTCCAGGAGGAAGAACAGTAACCTGATCAAGAAACTCATCGATTCCAGACACCAAGTCATTGCGGTCTTTTGCTTTGTAAGCAACATCATGGAACACCTGTGAAAAATGTAGAAGTGTACGTGGGAGGAAAAAGAGATGGGGAAAAGAATACTTTCAGAACACTTTTCAAAATGGCCAGTTTTCTTTGAAATAGAACATACTGCATGCAGTTTCCATCAAACAACCAACCTCAGCTTCAACTGACTAGAGTTTCTGGTACATAGTTTTCACAGAAGCTCCAGCTGGCATAGAAAAACATCCTTATGGGTGTTAAATGTTCTAGAGATTATACAGCTTAAAACACTATTAATTCCCTGGAAAGTAACTGCGGAATCTTCTCAGTGAAAATAATCCATGCATGTGAATATGGCAGCATAACTTGGGCTGTTAAAGGATCATGAAATGAACTAGAACGTTATTTGTGCATCATCAGAATGATTAGTCACAGTTCATCTAGACAACTCCACATTGGAGATGTCCTACTACACCTCTGCAGTCAGTACAAAATGAGTAAAACCAAGCCATGAATAAAAATACCTCATCTGTCATTAGTGTTGCAATTGATCTCCCAATCTCATGGTATTGTTGCCCTTTACCCAGTGGTCCAAGAAGAATAAACAAAAATCTGCAAATAAAAGATAAATTAAAAAAATCATAAAGGCTAGATGGTTGAAAGTAAGTATACATACTATACAAGAACTTATTTGAAAATTAGACTAGAAGAACCTCTAAGACAAATATGATATATAATCTCCTTCTAGATCCTCACACATGCATTTAAACATGAAGCTCTGGTTAGAAAAAAAATGTGAAAATAGCTTCCAAAAATATATCATAAGCTTCACAGTCAGACTTGATTGAGACTATCAAAACCTCCTTACATAACAAACCTTATCTTACATAATAAATAAATGTAATTATAATATATGTACAGAACACATTAACATCAATTTATTTAATTCTGTTAATTCGACAGAATCAAGGTAGTAGTATTATTGTAATAGTGAGTAAGTTAAATTACCCCAAATAAAAATAATTTTTAAATTGTTCCTATTCCCACTAAGTCACTAGGCAGCCTCTAACCTAGGCTGGCAGCTACTAAGGTTCTATAAAATGCAGAGGATAGGTTCAAATGAAATAACTGAAATTCTCGTTTTTGCTAAAATGAAAAAGACAATTTTTTTTTACATTTTTGCAGAAATTCTTAATTATTCTAATTTTTTTAATTATTTAATTTTCTTTTGGAAAAAAAAAAATCAGAAATCTGTTGTTTTCCTTGTGGTGGGTATTTTTTGTGGGGAGTTGGGTGAAGTTATGAGGCAAGGCTTCAGAAGTTTTTTTCAAAGCCAGCTCAGTCCCTCAGTGTCCCTTATACACATGCAAAAATTAGAAAAGACAAAGTCACATCCAGAGTAACTACAACTTAAAGAAAATTTCGTAGTTTATCTGACTAGAAGCAAGGAGTTGAGTCTCAGCATTGCATTTCATAGTACAATACTCCTTCCTGAGTGTCACAAACTACTGGAATACACTAGTGCTTTCTATTGAAATTCTACTTTTATAGAAACTGAAAGAGGG